AATGGCAACTGCACATGACAGGAAATGAACCAAACTAGCTTTTCATTGTAAACAGGTGTTCTGAATGCTAAGCCCCAAATATAACAATGGAAGACAGGTAAACAGGTAGACTCTTCAACAATAATACTGTAAAAAAATCACTTAGGTCAATAGCTTTGCTATCCGACCCCCTCTCAACTTTAGATGAGAGCGACTTACTGATCTGAATGTCTTCTCTCACTTCCTCCCGTGTGTATGTGCTGCAGAATTTTCTTTGATTCACTCAATGAATATGTATGGAGTGAATACTATGAGCTTTACATTCTTAGACACTGAAAACAATTATAATAATGGCTACCGTTTGTTGATTATTTACTAAACGTCAGGTTCTTTGCTACATGCTTTACGTACATCATCTCGTTTGGCCTTCACAGCCCCCTGTGAGGCAGGTGCTATTATTTCCCCTGTTGGCTGATGGGAAACAGGCTTAGAGAGGTCAAGTATCCTGCTCAGATGGTAGGGTCGGGAGTCAGGCCTGCTTGCTCAGAATCCTTGCTCTTAAGCACCACGTTAAGTCCCTTGCACCAAATCTGAACTCCTCCCCTAAGGGTGGATGGGAGCTCTACCAAAGGAGCTACTGAATGTGGTTAAGAGGAGGGAGGAGAAGCATTGCCCCAGAATACCCCAGATGCTCCTGCTGAGCCATGTCATGTCTATGGAAGAATGTCATTTGGTTCATGGGCTCAGCTAAGGCAGGAGCTGCCTCCCTGATATACACTGCTTGCGGGCTGGTGGTGTTAGCCCCTCTAGGGACAGTCTATTTTAGGCAGTCCTAGGATGAGAAAGATCCTTATTACACTGATCCAATTCTAGTTTTTATCCACTTTTGCTTGAGAAGTCCATTCAATACAATAGTTCTTTAAGCTCCCTTTAAATCCATAGATATCTGGGCTTCTTATCATGACCTATTTTCTTTTTAACTTGTGCTAAAACACACATGACAAAATTTATTATTTTAACCATTTTAAGTATACAATTTTGTGGTATTAAATACATTGATAATGTTGTGCAACCATCACTACCATCCATCTCCATAATTCCTTTTATCTTGTAAAACTGAACTCTGCACCCATTAAACAATAACTCCCCATTGTCTCCCCTCCCCAGCCCTTGGCAACACCATTCTACTTTTATGCCTCTATGATTATGCCTACTCAAAGCACTTCACATGAGTGGAATTATAAGTGTAATTGTCTTTTCGTGACTGGCTATTTCACTTAACATGATGTCCTCAAGTTTCATCCATATGGTAGTGCATTGCAGAATTCCCTTCCTTTTTAAGGCTGCGTGTATATATCACTTTTTGCTTATCCATTCAGCCATCCATGGGCACTTGGGTTGCTTCCATGTTTTAGCTATTGTGAATAATGTTGCTAGGAACATGGTGTACAAATACCTCTTCAAGACCTTGCTTTAAATTCTTTTGGATATGTACCCAGAAGTGGAATAGCTGGATCATATGGTAATTTTATTTTTAATTTTTTGAGTAACTGCCATACTGTTTTCCACAGTAACTGTACCAATTTACATTCCCACCAACAGTGCACAGGGTTCCAATTTCTCCACATCCTTGCCAACACTTGTTATTTTCTTTTGGTAGTAGCCATCAGAATGGGTGTAAAGTGGTATATAATGAGTTTTGATTTGCATTTCTCTAATAATTAGTGACATTGAGCATCTTTTAATGTGCTTATTGGCCATTTGTATATCTTTTTGGAAAACTGTACATTCAATTCCTTTGCGTACTTTTGAATCAGGTTATTTTTTGTGTTGAGTTTTAGGAATTCTCTCTATATTCTGGATATTACTCACTTCTCAGATAAATGATTTGCAAATATTTTCTCCCATTCTGTGGCTTGCCTTTTTACTCTTTTAGTGTCTTTTGAGGTACAGACTTTAAAAATTTTTATGAGGTCCACTTTGTCTAATGTTTCTTTTGTTGCCTTTGTCTTTGTTGCCAAATTTAAGAAATCACTGCCAAATTCAATGTCATGAAGTTTTGTCTTATGTTTTCTTCTAAGAGGTTTATTGTTTTAGTTGTTAAATTTAGTTCTTTGATCCATTTTGAGCTAATTTCTGTATATAGTGTTAGGCAAGGGTTCAGCTTCATTCTTTCACATGTGGATATTCAGTTTTCCCAGCACCATTTGTAGAAAAGACTGCTCTTTCTCTATTGAATGGTCTTAGGACCCTTGTAAAAAATCATTTGACCATATACACTAGGGTTTATTTCTGGGTTCTCTATTCTATTCCATTGGTCTATATATCTGTCTTTATGTTAGTACCATACTGTTTTGATTACTATAACTTTGTAGTAAGTTTTGATATCAGAAAGTGTGAGTCCTCTAGTTTTGTTATTCTTTTCCAAGATTGTTTTGGCTATCTGGGGACCTTGAGATTTCATATGAATTTTAGGATGGTTTTTATTTTTCTTTCTTCAAAAAACATCATTGGGATTTTGGTAGGGCCTGAATTGAATTGGTAGATTGCTTTGGGTAGTATGACATTTTAACAACATTAAGTCTTTCAATCCATGAACATGGGATGTGTTTATATTTATTTTTATGTCTTTAATTTCTTTCAGCAATGTGTAGTTTTCATTATGCAAGTCTTTCTTCTCCTTGGTTAATTCCTAAGTACTTTATTCTTTCTGGTGCTATTGTAAATGGAATTGTTTTTTAAATTTGCTTTCCAGATTGTCCTTTGTTAGTGTATAGAAATGCAATTGATATTTGTGTCTCGACTTTGCATCCTGCTCCTTGGCTGAATTATTAGTTGTAACAGTTTTGTTTCGTTTTTGTCTTTAGGGNTGCAATTGATATTTGTGTCTCGACTTTGCATCCTGCTCCTTGGCTGAATTGATTTATTAGTTGTAACAGTTTTGTTTCGTTTTTGTCTTTAGGGTTTCTAGATGCAAGATCATATCTCTAAAAAAAAATCTTTAAATGAAGTTTTTTAGTGGTAACTTTTTTTTTACAATTCTTGTATTTTCCAGACAAACCAGAATTCAAGGGTGGGGGGAAGCCAGGGTAAATAGGAACTCCAAATCTACTTCTAGATTACAGGACATCCATGAATTATACACCAAACCATAATATATTTTGAAGACATAAAATCCTAAACTGTCTCAGTACCTGAGACAACAATAAGAGAAAAGAGAAAGGTGGAAGTGTGTGTATGTATGAGAATGTATGAACCTGAAAGAGCTACACAAACATCTTTCTTTTCCTCAAGTCCAAAGGTAGCTCCTGTTAAAACTAATAGAAATAACATGCCCTCTCTCAGGAGACTTCTATTTGATAAGGAGGTACGTTTAAGGCAAAGAAGAAAAGCCAAACAGAAGGGCCCCATCTGGATTTCTGGGTTTTAATAGAGAGTCATACAATCTTGAGGACCAAAAGGAAAACTAATGTGAAAAAAATTCAATAATGACATCAATAGAAATTGCTGTAGAAAAGGTCCTAACCCAGCTCACAGCTAATTCTGACCCTCATGAATCCTTCGAATCTGGCCCCAAAATCAGAATAATAAGTGCAAAACACAGACATTTTGGGGGAACATAGTGCCTCCTTTAACTTAATTACATATCTTTCCGTGGTAAGAATTTAGAGGTTCATTCAGCAAAATCTGTTGCTGCCTACGTTGTGCCAGGTACCGGTCTTGGTGCTGGGGATCTGGCAAAAAACAAAGCCCCTGGTGCACCGACCTGTCATTTAATTGGGGAAGACAGACAACAGTCATATAAACCTGTGCTATGCTACAGGTGATAGTGCTGCAAAAAGCAGTAATCCATAAAATGAACAGTAAGAGGCAGGGTGATGCCTTTGGTAGTTAGTAGGAGGGGCCTCTGATGAGGTGACATGTGGGCAGAAACTGAATGAGAGAACTGGGGCAAGAGCTTCTTATACTTCTATGTCACACAGCAGCTGTGTCATAAATGTTTATAAATAGTGATTTATCAACTTAGTGACCCTTTGAATTTCTTTTCCTATGATGAGTAAAAGGATTAAAGGAAGTAAAATCTGGTAAATTCATTGCATTATCTAGTCTAGCGTTTCTCAACTGAGGATGATTTTGCCTGCCAGGGGACATCTGGCAGTGTTTGAAGACATTTTGATTATCACTGTCTAGGGGAGGAGAGGGAGGGTTCTACTGGCATGTCCTGGGTAAAAGCCAAAGATGCCACTATACATCATACGGTGCATTGAATCAGCCCATACAGCAAGGAATGAAGGGACCCAAAATGTCAACAGTGCCACTGTTGAGAAACCCTGAGCTGGTGAGAGCTGAGGGACTGGGCAAGGGCTGCTCTTCCAAACATCCCATCAAGATACCTGGACATGTGCAAATAAGGTAGATCCAAGGCCCTTGGAGTTACCTTGGAGCATCTGTTGCAAACCATCAGACTTAGTAATATGTTTCAAAGCCACATGGGGATTTATTCATTAACCTACATTAAATAAGTTTCCTGAATGCCGTTGGTACAAGAGACGGCCAGGAGACAAGATGTGGTCCCAGCCATCAAAACTTTTACACCCTAGGGAGAGTGGGAGACATGAAGACAAACACCTGCAATGTGACAAAGACCACAATGGGGTGGAAAGCAAATGATGTAGGGTGGAGAGAGTAATGACTTTGGTTGGAGTGACTCAAATAGGTTTAACACGTAAGGAATTATTTGAACTGAGCTTTGTGAGTAGGCTTTAAAAAGGCAGAAAGGGAAGAAGAGGGTAAGATGTGAAGACAGGTACAATAGCAGGGAGCAATAATATTAATAGCAACTGTCATTTAGCAAATCCCTTCTATGTGACAGGGTGATGCCAAGCATTTTGTTGTAACAAACAATTGAAGTCTAACATAAAACCTGATATATACAAACCACCTGGAGCCTAGCATGAACCAAAGTGACTTGCATTCTCATCTTATCCATTTAAAAAATATAATAAGACCTGGGGAGTTACCTGAGGTGTGTTGCATAAATACCTAAGCAGTTCACCAATGTACTGAATGACAGTGACATTATATTTTCTGCAGTCATCCCAAAACTGGCTGGCTGAAAATTTGTTCCGCAAAACAAGAGTAGCACCTACAGAGAAGGCATAGAAAGTATTAATAAGAAAGTGCTACAAAAATTACATTCATAAATAAGTGTTGAGTACTAATTATATTCAATGCAAAAAGATCCAAATGAGACCTAGTTTAGTCCTATAGGAGCCTCCAATCTAGTCAGAAGAAGACACATAAAAAAATCTTTCTAATAAAAATCAGTTTGCAATAAATAAGAAGTTCAAGTGAGGCCCTAAAGGAATGTGTGTGTGTGTGTGTGTGTGTGTGTGTGTGTGTGTGTGTATATACATTAATTCTGCTTGGGCAAGGACTGACAAAGGCATTTTTTGGAAGAGATAGAATTTGAATTAGCTCTTGAGAAATGAATATGGGGAAAGATAAGAGAATTCCAGGCAGAGGAAAAAGCATGAACATAAAGACAGAATAGTCCAGAGGGTGTTGGAGGATGGCCAAGACTCAGGTGGCCTGTAACTGGGCTGGTGAAAGGTGGGCGGCTCATGAAAGATGAACCTGGAGAAGCAGCTGGGGGTGCAGTTATAGAAAGCTTGGAAGTGCAAGGTGGAGGAACCAGACTTGATTTTGTGGGCAATGAAGGGCCAAGTTCTTGAGCAAGCAGGAAAATTCTTCTTTGTTGGGGGAGGTAGACAGAATATTTGTTCCCAAAGATGTCCACATCTTAATCTCTAGAACCTGTGAATATGCCACCTTACATGGCAAAAGGGTCTGTAAAGATGTGATTAAGTTAAGGATTTTGAGGTGTGAAGATTATCCTGGATTATTTGTGTGGGCCCAATGTAATCTGTAATTACCCAGGTTCTTATAAGATGAAGGCAAGAAGGTCAAGGGCAGAAGGAGATGGGATGATGGAAATGAAAGGCTGGAATGATATGTTGTGGAGATGAAAGAAGGGGCCATGAGCCAAGGAAAGCAGGCAGCCTTTAGAAGCTAGAAAAAGCAAGGAAATAGATTCTTCCCTAGAGCTTCCAGAAGGAATGGAGCTCTGCTGATACCTTGATTTTAGGACTTCTTACCTTCAAAAGAGTAAGAGAATAAATCTATGTTCTTTTAAACTACTAAGTCCGTGACTTGTTATAGTGGCAATAAGAGACTAACACAATGGGTAAAATAATATATCTATTATATTCAACCTAATTAGAGGCATGAAATGTGCAAAGTGAAATAAATCCACAAATATTTTTTATGTTATTAGTTTATTTTTACTCCTACATATACAAAAGTCCAATGTTTTCAAAGAGGATACATTTTAAAAAATACTATTTATTTCTTCTTTTGCATGTATTTTTGCTCCTTAAGCAAACGTGTAAGTGATTGAATTGTCCCTTTGGGAGCCTCAGAGTCACCCTGTTCTTAAAGGGCCAGCAATGTGATCAGGTCGTCATTTCTTGCTGATTTGAAGGCTGATGTGGGTCTAAGTGTTTTATAGCTGCTCAGTAAGTTGATGAGGGAAAGAAGCAGAGGCTTGGGCAATTGTATATGTATATGTATATACAGAGGGTATCCTCCAAAAATGTATACGCACACTCTGAATAATTATAAAGGCAGTGTTTATTAAAATACATTTCATTTTCAAAATTGAGCTCTTAGTTGTTAAAGTGTCTTTACACTTTTTTGGAGCACCCTGTATACACATATATAATTATTTATAATAAAATAACACATGGGAGAAAATTTTAAGTTTTTAGATTAGAGCATTAGAAATGGTTTCCTGGGAGAGGTGGATATTAGACTGAGTCTTACTGTATAAAAGTGGTATCAATCCTACTGAAAGAAGAAAGGATGGCACTCTATTTTGAATGGTAGAGCTTGAGAAGGAAAAAGGAGAGGTGACAAGACAGGTATTCTGATCAGAGCTGAGGAGTAATGGGAGTAAGGGAAGAACAAAGTAGAATGGGAAAAACTGGAGAAGTTTAAATGAGACGCTGATGGAAGTCAACATGCAGATTTCTAAAAGTGGAAATGATGTCAGAGAATTATCTATGGAATATAAGAATCAAGCATTTGCTCTGGCTGGTGTGGCTCAGTTGGTTGGGTGTCATCCCGTGCACAGAGAGGTTGCTGGTTCGATTCCTGGTCAGGGCACATGCCAGGTTTCGGGCTCCATCTCTGTTAAGGGGCGTGCAAGAGGCAGCGGATCGATGCTTCGCTCTTGCATCAATGTTTCTCTTTCTCACTCTCCCTTCTCCTCTCTCTCTCTCTCTCTAAAAAGAAATAATAAAATGAAAAGAATCAACTGTTTTGACATGGATAAAGACCTCAAATATTTTTAAAAGGTTTCTTCCTTGATATACTGAACAATTATAGCATTATACTACTAGACAAGGAGCCATGGAAAAATAGGAATAATTTTAGATACCTACTTGCCATGGGTGAATCAAATAGCCTTGTTATTAACATAGAATTAAATATCTTCCTAGCACATAGGAGAGAAGCCAAATTTCAAATTACTTTTTCTTACCAGTGGATGTGAGTGTGTACTGACCTCCAACGCCTTGTTGAGAGAAAAAGCTTACCCGCCGCAATACATCCATTTACACCGATGAGGAGCGCAGAGCTGTGGTACAAGGGCAGAGTGGTATAGATGATGTCATCTTTCTTAATCCTGGCCACACTCATGAGGCCGGTTCCATTCCATAAGCGATGGTGACTGATCTTCGCAGCTTTCGGGAGACCTTTGAAAAGATACAAGAGTAGGCCTGAGTGAGCCAAGATCAGCCATTTACAGACACGTGGTCTGGGAGAGACGTCTGGCTTAAGATGCATCATCTGGCAATTAGAGAATTGCAGATTGAAGGGCCATAGTCAGTGAGACCAGCAGTTGGCAAATTTTTCCATGAAGGACCAGAAAATAAATGTGTTAGGCTTTGCATGGTCATATAGACTCTGTTGAAACTACTCAACTCTGTTATATTGCAGCCGATGGCAGCCAAACAATAAAGCAGCGATTGACTGTCAACCGTTTTCATCTCATGGAACACATAAACTAATTTTAAAATTCTGCAGTATACCAGAAAATATATTATATTTTTTGCACCAAAAAATAGGTATAATTTTGATTTATTTACACTGGATGGCTATTGTTGTGTTGGCTGTTGTCATTTTTTTATTTGACAATCTAAGGGAAAAGAGGTCAGTGCCCCTGACTAAGGAGTCAGGTACTGCATGTTTTAGAAATTCTTGGGTCACACCGTTTGAAAATCGCTGACATAAAGGAATGAATGTGGCTATGTTCCAATACGACTATTTACAAAAACAGGTGTGTCTGTGTGGGGGGAGCTCGGGGGCTGTACTTGGCCCACAGGCCAGAGTTGCTGACCCCTGTGTTATACGGTTATTACAGCAGTAATTTTAAGAGAAAGGAACAAATGGCTATTGGATTTCTGCTCTGTGTCTATCACCTTGCAAGGTATTTTTGGAATTTCATTTAATTTTCATAATTAATGAGATATATAGAACTATATTCTCTAATCCACAGACTAGAAGGCTGAGATTCAGAGAGAGTAAAGAGCCTATCCATCCCATCACCTTCCTTCACAATCCCTTTTATGATTTCTTATGTACTCTTCTAGAGTTTCTTTATATACATGTATATGTATATACACACATATATAAAATTATGAACATTTGCTCATATGTTTCTGCCCTTTCCTCCATTTAAAAAATAAAAACGCTCTTCAGCACCTCCCCCCTCCACTTAACAATGCATCTTGGAGAGCTATCCATATTTGTACTTAGAAATTTCTCTTATTTATTCATCCATTTATTCTCTCTCAGTTTCATCAAGCCCTTTGTATGTGTATGTTATAATTTACTTACACTATTTTGCTATTTTAAATAATGCTGCAGTAAATAACCTGGTCCACATGGTACTTCACACTATGAATGATACCGTATCTGTACGATACGTTTGCTGAAGTGAGATTGTGGGGTTAAAAGATATGTCTTTGTGATTTCGACAGGTGCTGCCATGGTGCCAGTTGTAAGGTCTGTCCCTATTTTTTCTCCCATCAGCAATATGTGAATGTACATATTGAAGGTTTCCTCGTAGCCTTCCCAAGGCGTGCTCTCAAATGATAGAATTTTTGCAAATCTGAAAGGTGAAAATTCATACAGTGTAGTTTTAGTACACTAGACTAAATACATTTGTATGTTCTTAACTATAATTTATGTAAGTTTTTTGTAAGATTTTATTGAAAGAATATGCTCCTATTGTTTCCCATGGGAGGTCAATTTCATTGAGGAGGGCATGAAGTCATTACTAAGGGGCTGGGCTAGAGTTTAATTTTTTTTTTTAAATATATCTTTATTGACGTCAGAGAAAGGAAAGGAGAGGGAGAGAGAGATAGAAACATCAATGATGAGAGAGTCATTGATCAAGCCCGCAACCGGGGTATGTGCCCTGACTGGGAATCGAACCCCGATCACCTGGATCCCAGGTCGACGCTCAACCGCTGAGCCACTCCCGGCCGGGCTGGGCTAGAGTTTAAGACCTGAGTGGGTCAATTGCCTTTGTGAAAAGAAATGCAGTTCTCTGTACACTCAGACCCTTCAATGCTTGATGGTACCTTAGTCAGGTATTGCCTAAAGAACTGCAATTCCTTAGAAGGCAATGCAGTGTGGCTAGCAAACTAGCATCATTGTAAACACAATTCAAAATTTCATTTTCTTGGTCTGTGAGACAGTGGCATTGTGTTAATATTTAATGCCCCATTCTATACTAATATTAATAAACAGGAGAAAGCATCAATAAACCAATTGTATTCACCATGGAAAAAGAATCTTCCAGATAATAAAAGCTCTGAACTATATTTAAAAAAAGACATGCACAATCTTTGCTGCTTTGAAGTATTTTCAGAAACTTTCCTAATTTAAGATTTTGCATTAATGAAGACTTAAGAATGCTTGGTAACTATTCTATAATATTGTGCGAATGGCTGCCTTTGGAGGAACAGGGAAAACATTTTGCTCTTCAGCTGCTTAAATGAGTTCTTTGAATTAATGTTTGCAAGAGTAACTTAGCAAAATTTTACTCAGACAAGAAGAAAAGTAAAACAAACATCAACCCAATTATCTTCCAACTAAATATACCTTCTGAATTATGGGATCAATTAAGCAGTGCAGATTCTCCTTTTCTCTCTAGAATGGGGTTTATTTTTGACAGCCCAAGCCTGCATGGTGAAGTCATCCCATACTTGTCTATTTATTATTGAGACTGGAACTCCCTGTCACTAACCAAGGGCTCACTTTATTTCATTTATTTCCCAAATCAAAGTTCACATTTAATTTTACCATTCTCCTAAGAAATGCGGACAAAGTCTCACATGTTAAGGTAGTGTCTATATGTAGTGGAAGCATTTGGTTAACTATGTTATCTACTATTTCGTTGGCAATGCAGTATATAACTTTTGGGAACAAGAATGGTATACATCAAAAGAGTGGTGGGAGAACTGTATGAACAAATGCCATAAAGCTCCTAGGAGAGCACCTAGTACATTCTACCCTTACTATATATTACCTGTCCCATATAGCAGTGTTCTAATAACACTGCTAATTGGCAGTGTTTTTTTTCTTAGTGGCTCATAAAAATAATGGTGCTGCTTACAGTTGAAGGCATCCCCATTTGATAAAATACAGTATTCTAGGCCCTCAGCTGAGAGCCATTCTATACCCTCAGCAGCAAACAGCTCCAACTCAATGTTGCATGAGAAGAGAGCGGTCAGAACATTTATATAAATATGACCCCATGATTGTCCTATAGTCTTCTCTGGTGTTCCACTTATAATTGGTTATATATTATACATGTACTCCAAATATAATCAAAATACAACAATCATTTAAAAAATTCCTAAACCTACTGCCAAATTTCATCCATCATCACAACTGCTTTGGTAATTTTTGGTTAACCTCTTTCTGTCTTCTACATACCGAGAGGGAAATATGTGTAGCTGGGAGAAACCCAAATGGGATCATATGCTAAGAAATAAGATCAGTTCTCACAGGCAAAGAGCTAAATCCCCTAAAGTATTAGTTATCTGATAAGTTTTGCCAAAGAAAAAGAAAATTTGAAAACCTAACCCAACATTGAACTTCTTCTTCAGGATAGGTCCATTTCTTTTAGAATCCTGTCTTTATTTTTACCTGTGGTTCCCGAAGTATAAATGTATAAGGCAGGAGTGGAAAGCATGACTTCAGACCTCCAGGACTCCGGGATAGGTTCGGTCGACACTTCATCCACTTTGTCGAGGAAAGTGCCAACCCCGTCTGTGTTGGAAGTTCTGCTCACATAATAGATGGACACATCATCTCTCATCAGGCTTGGCAGCACTTCTTCAACCACTGCTTGTAGTTCTTAATTTAATTAAACAAAAAAAAATCCAAACAAGTTAAATTAGTCCATTGAAGCTCTATTAGTGCAACCAGCTTCACGGTAATTTCATTTTCAGCATATAATTTTTGCTAAAACACATAGTCATGACAAGTAATGCTTAGAGTTATACATTTTTAAACATGGAATTTGCCACATTTGAAAATATCACAAGATTCCAATATTTGAGGGAAGGTTGGGTTTCGATGGTTTTTTCATAAGTAGCAAACGGTTAAAATCTGTACAAACAAAAGGACATATGGATAAATACCAAGATATATAAGTGTGTACATTATATGCATATTTTGTATACATCTCAAAATAGTCCAGAAAAGAACTTAGCTATTCCCACATGTGCCCCACAGGATCAGTGATGAAAAAATAATTTTTAAGGAAGGAGAAGAGAAATGAAAATAAGGTAGCCGTGCAAAGTAACAAAGATGATGGAAGTTGGCTTTTTTTTTTTTTTTTTGAAACATCAGTAACAAGCAGTTCCATTAGGAAGCGTAGCTGATCTGAGAAATAAGCTCCAAATTTCACAAGCACATTCTCTTGTCTGAGAAAAAAACAAACCGATTAGTATGTTTTCACTGTGGGTCACAGCACAGTAGTGGATTATTAAAATCATTTAAAGTTGCCAGTATTTTTAAAAAATTAAAATAGGATAAAATAGAAATTTTCAGAGAACATCACACATAGTAAAAGGTATGTATTGTTTTTTAAAGATTTTCCTTCAGTTATGTGGGTGTGTGGGTACTGGCTCACACACAAATGTGTTTTTTACTGTAGGTAAAGGTAAAAAAAATTTAGAGACACCGATTTAATATACAAACCACATTTCATGATTGCTACTTGGATTTTTGTGCCTTAAACCATAAGATGATTTAAACTTACTTGCCTTGAACTGTGATAACTGAGGTGATTAACAGGAAGATGATGCAATATCCTGGGGAATTACCTTGGGGAGGCTCTACCCAAGTCATCTTATATGCTTTGTTTTTCAGATGTTTGTGTATAATGTCTCCATCATGACAAGAAATATCATCTGGATGGAAGCACTTAAAATTTTTAAAAACATTTTAATCAAAAGACTCATGGACCTGATAAAAATAAAGAGTTCAAACGGTTTTATAATGGAAATCAGCAGGGCTTTACGCCATCCCTCCTCAAAACTAAACCTGCTGCCGAGGCGCAATCGCTTTCAATTTTTAAAGCTGTTTCTTTTGGCAATCCCTTCCTCATCACCAAATAATGTACTCTTCCTGCTACCGCTTGACCTATTAATTTTTATCCCTACCCCCGTTTTACCCATGTCTGCTCCCAACAGTTATTATGTTCACATAATGTCTGGGTTAATGATATTTACATCTATTCCGAGACCATCATTCTGACTTCCCAGCTTTGTCTAGAAGCTGAAAACCAGTCAGCCCAACTGACAAGACTGTGACTATCAAGACTATTCACATTGTAGTCACATTTCCTTTCTTGCACAGTTTTCTCCTGGAGTTTCTAATGGCTGTCGTTCCTTTATGTACTATTTGCCTCAATTCTTTTTTCACCCTCCATCAGATCAGCTTCTCTCTTTTTTTTTTTTTTACCCCCTTCTACTCTTTTATTTTGACTGGTTGGCTCTCTAGTCCTTCAGCACTTTGGGAAGATTACCAAAAATATTATTGTTATACAATCTGGAGTGGGGCTAACAGTCCATCCCTGGGGACTGCCTTGGCTCAGGTGCTCATTGTTTCCTACCTAGATGATCACAACAGCCTCCCGACCAACGTCCTTGCCTCTGAGCTCTCCCGGCTTCCAATTTATCAGCTACACTACTGCCCAGCTTCTTGCTACTGCCCTGTTCAAAACCCTTCCGTGCTGCTCAGGCCTCGGGAAAGAATCCGCTCTTCTTGTGCAGTGTGTGAGGTCCTGGCTCACAGTCTACCTTGCTGTTTTTCTGATGCCACTTCCCACTATCTACCTCTTGTCCCCTTTCCTCTAACCAAACTGACCTATGTGAACTGAATGTACCCACACTCTCACATCTCATTTCCTTTGTCCGGTTGACTTCATCTGCTTGGACCGCCCTCCCACCCCCAGGCACCTGGCAAAGTCCTGCTCGGCCTTCAAGACTCAGATGCCCTTCCCTGTGCTGCCTTCCACAGAACCAAGCTGGTGCTCCCGGAGGAGTCTGCATGTACTTCTACCAGGGTGTTTAGTACGTAATGTGACATGCTTCAATTCATTTCCTCCTCTACAGTGAAGCTGAGATTAAGGGATTATAACTTAATCGTATTGGCACCACCCTACCAGCATTAGATAAGTGCTCAATAAGTATTTATAACTGAAAGAATCTGCACAAGTACTGTATTAGTCAGTGTGGAAGAGACAGAGAGAGGAATAACCTAAAGCTGTTGATTTTAAAAGAAGCAGGTCTTGCAATAAATACTGTGAGTTGATAAACCTTTAATAAAATAAAGTGCAAAATGAAACAATTTCTGTGACACAGGTATGCCTTGCATACAAGTAAGGGCCCCCAGAAGTAAATTAAAAAACAACTACTATTTCTGCTTCAAGAATTAAACCTCCCTCCCTCCCTTCTGCCTGAGACTGAGACTATATAGTCCAATGGAGTGTTGATAAATTACCCAAATCACTTCTCACTTTCTCCCAACATTTATTCAGCATCTACTTAGAGAGTGCTCCCCATGTGCTCCATGGTTCTAGACACTGGAACAACAGTGAGCAAACCAGATACTCTCCCTGTTTTCACAGAGCCTGGGTTGAGTGGGGAGGAAACAAAGAAATAGTCTATTAAAATAAGCCGTCCTAGGGGTAAAAGTTGGGGAAGGAGGCTGTGTTGTAGAAGCTTGTGGGAGAGGTACAAAGGCATCCCAAGGGACATGTTATCTAAACTGAGCTCTGAAAGATGAACAGGAGTTGGCAAGATACAGAGCCACTGAACTGACGAGGCTTGTTTCCAGCGGAGGAAACAGCATATGCAAAAGCCCGGAGGCAACCTGCACGGTGCTTAAAGTGAAAGAGCCTGAGATGACTGGAGTGTAGACCGGGCAGGGAACAAGACTGGGGGAAGAGGCTGGGGTGGAAGTAGGATCCAGGTCCCTGGCTTAAGACAGGTAAACGGGTTGGAGGGGGCAAGACCAGAGGTAGGGAGACCATTTGGTAATCAAGCTTTTTTTGTATTAAGGTAGCACTGAAGGGTGGAGAGAAGTAGATGTATTAAAGAGATGTTTGAGAGGTAGAATAGACAGAATTTAATGACAGTCTTAATGAGAGCAAAATTTAAAAGAAACTCGATGTTTTTCAGTATTTTTTAAAAGGAAGATGTACTCGGGCATTAGTGATATATCTAAAATTAAGCAGGTGTCATCCTTGGTTATAGTTCAAGCAATTTAGCAACATACATCTTCTACTTCATTCATACTGCCTCTTAGCCCTCTGCTGGCATTTAGTTTGTGATTCCTGGCCACTCAAAGAAGTCATCTCATCTAAAGGGAAGGACACTGCTCCTGCTCACCACTATTTCCCTACCCGTTCTCTGGGCTATTGATGCAGAATTTGCATTTGGACACTGACTTGAGGTTCCAGTGGCTTGCCAACATATTAGGACACACCTAGTATGTCCTAAGGTAGCAGCTTTTCTCCCCTCAAAGATGCTGATATAAAAAATGAAATTTGAAAGGGAATTTTGCATGTAAACACCACTTCATTAACTACGTATTTGATAGTGCCCTTTCTTAAGTCTTTTATAAATATGATTGGCTTGGGGTGGTGAACACACAGTACAATTTACAGATGATGTATTGTAGAACTGTGCTCCTCACACCTGTGTACTTTTATTAATATCACCCCAATAAATTCAATAAAAAGATAAAAATAAATAAAAAATAAAAATAAATAAGTAAATAAATAAATATGATTGGGACTGCATGTTTCCTCTTTCACACATGAATTTTCGTTGTTGTTGTTGTAATTCTTATTGTAAAGTCTGCTTACTTAAGATAAAAGTGGCAATTTACCAGGACACTTAAGCTCAAACAATTCTACCTGTCTCAGGTTGACTTCCCTGGGACTCCGAGATTTGTATGCCAGAGTGCTTTTGGGTATGACACCTATGAAGCCGCAAGGGAAGTAGGTTAGATAGAGGGAGAATTTGAAGTGTGATACAGTCACACAGTGGCCTCCCTCAACTGGTCTGAATTCTATGGGGACTCTGGGCCTGGGAAGGCACTTCAGGGTTGTCCCAAACTAAGGGAAGCGGGCTTTACTTTCATGCCTGGCCACTGGATGCAAGCAGAGGTTTGGGGGGGTGGGGAGTAGGGGGGTGCAAGTGCTTGACCTTGGCAAAGTAGCTCTCTTCCACCAAGGACAAGTCCTGGAAAGGGCTTTAGCTGACAGCTGTCAGTTCCCAATTCAACCAGCAGCTGTGGAATGAGCCCCTTCTCAGCCCTGAAGTGGGGATTTAGGCAGCGTATCACAGCATCTGCTACACCTTTCATTCTTACTGATAACAGAAATGTAAAATTTCACTTGTATAGAACAGTTTGTATGGTAGCTTTGCATACATCACTTTACATAATTGTCTCAACAACTCTGTGTTATAGATTCCAGTAACCCTGTTTCCACAAATGAGAACAGAGGCTCAGCGAGTCTGCATGTGGAAGGCTACATACAAAATGAAAATAATTATACTGGGCTATGGGATTCCCACTTCCTTGTACTAGTCTTTCAGGTTCAAATTTGGGTGAATTGCCTTACTTTTTTGGAAGACACTGTCTACTAGACATGCTGAATACCTGTGGATGTGTCTTTTTAAAAATTGTTTTATTTATCTTTACTGTTGAAAGTATTACAGGTGTCTCATTCCTCTCCTCCCACCAAAATTGACCCACTCCACTTTGCTCCCACCACCTCCCCAGGCCTTCACCCTGTCTGTCTGTGTCCATGGGTTATGCATATATGCATATAACTT